AGGCAAAGGTCTGGAAACTGGGAGATCTATAGCTTCGATCCCATGAGCAAGTCTCTGTGTTACCTGTGGATCAAGAAACTCTCTACCTCCAAAACTTGCAGTGGCTCCCTATTGCTTCAAAAAAGGACAGTTGTCTATGAGTGCTTGTAGCCTGGGTGAGTGACATTCAGTGTGAGTGTGTATGCATATTTTTACTTCACACACATTTACTGACTGCTTGCTATATGCCAGGCATACTGCTAAAAAAATACAAAGATGTAGTTCCATCCCAGTCCCCACAAGGTTGGCAGTGGTGGGGGTGGGATGAGCAGAGAGGTCATAAGTGATTAAGAAGGAGAGACTTCCAAACATCACTGAAGTATTAACAAATGCCAGGAGATCATTCTCCACAGGCAGGAAGGAAGAATCAGTCCCTTTACTCGGACACAGATGAAAGCCCAGAAAACTTCCTGAGGGAGCTGCGTCTCAGCTAAATTTGCTGAATAGGAGTTGACCAGGCAAACAGGCAGAGGGGGAGGGATGGCATTCCAGGCAGAGGAACTGGCTGAGCAAAGACCTGGAAGGATGGCACATTCTGGAGCTCCAGGTGATGAAGTCCACTTGAAGTGTGAACCCTGAGCTAAGTCACAAGGAGAGACCAAACTGAGAGGTAAATGAGGTGGTTAGACAAAAGATACCACATTTGGAGCCAGTCAGTCAGACCTGAGTTCAAGTGCGGATCATGTCACTGGCAATTCACTCCTCTCCAGGCTCAACTTCCCTCCTGGGAAGGAAATGACCAGGGGGTGGGGGCACTGTCAGCAGATCTCCACTGGCGAGGAGTAGGGGAGCCAGAGAGGGGGCCATGGGAACACTTATTTTGCTTAAAATCAAAATACTGAGAATGCTGTCCCTCTGCTTTGATCAGTTTTGAATCATGATATTTAAATTATTTTGAATTCGAAATTCCTTAGGAGAAGGTGTGAGGTTTTTGTGTTTATCTAGGGCAACCTGGATTACAAAAAAGGCCAGAGAAACCCTGGCTGTGGTGATCTTAACGCCCCCTCTGATTTTAGCCTCCAGGTCTAAGATGACTGACAGCCAGGCATACAGGAAAAAGCAGAGAGAATCAACTGCTGAACTTGGAGGCAAACCCAAATTTCAATTCAGACTGTATCACTTACTCCCTGGTGAGACAGGCAAGTTAATGAACTTCCGGAAGTGTCGATTTCTTTCTCTATAACATGGTACTTCCTTCACAGGCTTATTGTGCAGTTTATCGGTTTATGTGAAATAATGGACTTACAAGCAACTACCACATATTAGATGCTCAATAAGTGTCAGGTGAGTGATGCTCCCTCTGCATCCTGGTCTCTAATCATAATGGCTTTCCCTGGAGTGCCCACCATGTGCCAAACACTCTCCACAGGCTATCTCACATATAAGGAAAAACTCACAATTTAATATTTGGTCATCAATTGAGCTAAAAGCAGTTTAACCTTCAGAATACAGCCACGATGGACGATGGGAATTTAGGGTATGCTGCCTGGAACCAGATCAGCCTTAAAATCTTTGAAAATTTAAAGCTTTTTTTTTTTTATGGCTCTGGAAACCTACCGACTGCACATTTTTATTTCCAACCGTTATGCTGTTTTTTTCTTCTTGCTTTCCACATTTAACTCAAGGACTCAATTGCAAAAGCCAAGTTTGAGATGATCATAACATTTAAGGAATGAATGTAACGACAGCTTATACTTGCATCGCAGGAAGATCTACATTCTATATTTAATAGCTTTAGTCATTTACAGCAAGAGTTATCACAGGCACCCCAAAGAGGGAGACCTGGAGAGAGAGAATTCTGCACCTTTAACTAAAGATGTCCGAGTCATAAGCTGTTTTGGAAATGATTAAGTGATAAATACAGTAAGTTCATCCTCAGTTCTGGGAACCCCACAGCACAGACAGTAATTCTCAGAGGCAGAAGCAATTATTATTATTAAAAGGTCTAAACCTTAAGCATGTGCACTTTCAGTCTGTTTAACTGGGAGATCACTAAGTTCAGGGAAGGAGGAACTCAGGTGTTCAAGCACCTGCTAGACACCAAATGTTCTATCACCTAAAACACCTAAAATCCACCCTCCACGTAGGCTTGTAACTAGACCTCAAAAATACAGGAAGAGGGGAATTAACAATGTTGAATACCAAGATGTGCACAATGCATATGAAATATGATAAAGTGTGTGCAATGCTTAGCATATGTAAGGAAGCCTGATAAACTCAGAAAGAAGATCCAGCCCTTTGCTGAGGAGATGGCTGTGTGACATTATTCCTGGCTGCATTCCCCAGGCCTAGCACAGTGCCTGGCATATCTGGTAGAGGGTAGGAATATGGAGTATGAAGCCAGATTTTGTGGCTGCCAATCCAACTTAGTCACTGTGTGACCTTAGATAATCATTCAACTTCTCTTTGCCTCAGTTGCCCACTTGTGAAATGGTAAACAGGAATACCTCTCTCATATTGTAATTGCAGAATGAAATGAGCTCATAAGTGCAAAGTGCTTAAGACAGCACTGGCAAACCATAAGAGTTGCAAACATAACCACCTGGGGACTTGCTACAGGCTGGGGAGCTCATCTGGCCTCACCCCCACCCTGTAACATAAAGTGTAATGAAGCTCCCTTTTCCAGGTGGGAGAACTGAAGGAAGTACCTCTGCCCAGATCTTCCAGTTCTGAACTGGCCTGAGACTCCTACCCAGGCCCGCCTAACAGTAACAGCAAAACAATATATAATTGTTTGTTTGTTTGTTTTAATGTTCTAGGCCTTTACAGATAGGCACACATTTACTTCTCACAACAATTGTATGAAGTAAGAGCCGCTAACCCCCATATGATGGAAGCAGAAACTGAGAGTGAGAGAGCTTAAGTCATTTTCTCGAGACCTTAGAGTTAGCAAGTATCAAGGGCGGATTCAAGCCCAAGCCTAGGAACCTGACTTGTCCCCACGCGAAAGGAGAGTGCCACCGGTCCCCGGTGCCTGAGGTTGGGTGGGCTGGCCAGATGTCCCGGCTCATCTTCTCAGCTCCTCTCGGGACTGGGGGTTTAGGACCGGCGGCTCGCTGGTGGCAGACAGGTCGGAGAGGCCTGGAGCAGGGGCGGGTCTGCGGCGCGGGGCGGGGCGGGACTGCAGAGAGCTGCCCGGGCAGGACGCCTCCTGCGCGCGCTTGCCCCGCGGGAAGCCCGGCTGGGGCCCCGCCTGCGCGGGCGCCGGGGCTCTCTGCCCGCAGCCCTCCGGGGCCCGTAGCCCGCGCGTTCCTTTCGCTTTTAGCCCGAGCGGCGCTGATTACTCAGAATCGCCCCCACTTGGTTGGCTGAGTGACAAAGATCAGCAGTGGTTGTTCGAGGGTGCCCCTGCCTCCAGCAGAAAGCACCCCAGGCCGAGAGCCCCGGAAGACTCGAATCTCCTCTCGCTCTGCCTCTCGCTCTCAGTGGGACTGGGTTGGGGCCTCAGTTTGCCCATCTGTGTGACTGACGTCGACAGTGTTTCTGCACAATCGAGAGAAAGGTGTACGTTGTGGAAACAGCCTGACTTTTCTTTGAAGTCTTCTATTTTCAGCTACAATAATTCTGAAAGTTATATTCTTCACCATTGTTATCTGTTTTAATAAATCTACATTATATTTAATGTGAAAGGAGTAAAATTGTCACCTAGGAAAAATAGTCTGTGATTTAAACAGTGGTTCGAGTCCTGTTTGAGACACAGAGGAAGCCCTAGGAAGGCCCTTTCAACCCCCTTTCATCTGTCAATCTGATTTGTCGTGGGTATTTTTTATTCTTCCCCAGTAAGACCTTTACAATCTCACTGGTGACCAGTGGGGTGGGGAAGACTGGGTTTTACCACTAAATATATTCAGTTAGAAGTTCTTGGTCTGCCTTTTTTTTTTTTGCCTGTGGGACCTCGGTTAAGCCATTGACACTTACTGAGCCTCAGTCTCCCGTCTATGAAATGGGGAGAAGACTCGCAGCGTTGCTGGGAGGATTCGGGATGGTATTTGCTAAGGGTCTGCCCTGCGCTGGATGACCCATGGACGAGGATGCTAGTGGGTGGGGACTCTGAGGGTCTGAGCCTGGATTTCTTCGCTCTGCTCCTTCCGGTGGCCCCGGAGCGCCCGCCCCTGAGCAAGGGCTGGGCGGGGTCGGCTTCCAGCCTCCCGAGGCCCCGCTGCAGCGGTGGCACCGGTCCCGCCTCCCCCACCGGCCAGCTCCCGGGGCGGGACCCGCGGCAACCTGCGGGCAGAAGGCCAGGCTTTATTTACACAAAAGCAGCCGGTGGAAGCTGGCCTTGTATGGATGAAACGTTGGCGGGCCGAAACGTCGCCGGGGGCGGGGGAGGCTGTAAGAAGCGGCCTTAGCCTGATAGGAATCTATGAATAAACAACGTGAATCAAAGAATGCATTGAAATGACCTCCTAGAATCACAGAAACACGACCCAAAGGAGGCCTTTTGAATCCTCCCACACGTCCCATCCTATCAGATAGTTTGGCAAAGTGAGGCTCGAATCATTCTGTAGTATTACCAAGCCAGAGTGCCTGCCCTACAGACCCCGCCTTCCTGAGGTCGCCTGTGGGGGCGCGACTTCAGGGCTGGGAGCGGGATCTGGGTCTGAAATAAAGAAGGGAAAGGGGAACTCCGCTTTCTGGGCACCTACTCTTGTGCTAGGCATAGTTCCTATGTAATTTCACTGCCTTCTCACACCGCGCTTTGAGGGAGGGATTCCCATTTTTCATCTGGCTAAACGCTGGCTCAGGTAGGCAAGCGAACTCACTTGCTCCAGGACACAAACATCGGTAAGTAGAACAGCTGGATTCAAATAGAATTCGGTCCCGGGCTCTTTCCACCCAACCGCGCTGCCGGCGGAGGCGCAGGGGTAAAGCACAAAATGCGCGGTTGCGACGTCAGGACAGCAGCGCGATGGCCCAGGTGTTTCTGGGCGCCGCCCCTTCCCTCATCGTCCTTCACCTACCTACTGGGTGTCCACTGCCCCCTCCAGTTCTACTTGTCAGCTGATTGGCGGCCGCCGCGCCCGCTCGCCTGATTTAGCAGCCGGAAGTCGCAAGCCGGGTGATCGCTGACCTAGAGCCCCTAGTCTTATCACTGCCAAAGCCAACGTTGCCCTAGAGGACACACAGGTGCTGCGCCCAGGGCGCGCGTTTCTCCGGCCTCCGCCCTAGTCACGGGGCTGCATCCGGTCTGGGAGCAATGGAATCGGGTTAAGCCGCCCCTTTCCCGGCAGGGGCCTGCCCACGCTCACCCTGCGGAGGCCCGGAACAGGTTTCTTCACTTTCCCTGGCCCAGCTCCTGCTGGGGGCGAGGAAGGGAAGCTGGTTGCTCAATATGCCTAAGGATTGTTCTAGTTCTCAGGAGACTTGTGGACAAGCCATCAGTCAGGTGGACCCAGCTCAAGCCACTAGGCACGTACAGTGTCTTGTATACCGCGGTCTACACAGCAAACCCTTAGGGCTCCTCATGTGACAGGTGGGGCCCGTGCTCTGCACAAGGCGGGCCAGTGTCAAGTTCCAAGGAGAAGATGGGCAGAATGAGATGAGTCACCCAGCCCTCTGAGTCCATCCAGCAGTAAGGAGGTGTGGAAGGCCAGTGTCAGGTTTGGCCTGGGGGTGGCACACTGACCAGTCACTGGGCCTCCATCAATCAGTATGCGCCAAATGACCCTGGAGGACTTTCCCAGAAGCCCCAGCTCCTTTGCTTTATAGCTCTTGGCCAAGTAGAAACCTTGGGCAGAAAATCCAGGCATATGACAGATAGAACTTCATACATATTTATTGAGTGCCAGGCACTGTACGAGGCCCCGGGGATACCACCATGACCCAGACACAGAGCCTGCCCTCACCTATCCCAGCCTAATCAGACAGGTAACAGGTCATTTTAATTTGGAACCATTTTTTGGAGTGCGTCTGGGAGAAGATGGTTGGTTGTGGGTGGGGCCAGGAGGCATTAGGAAAGACTTTCTAAGGCTTCAAACTCTACCATTTTCCTCCTTTCTTCCACCTTTCTGCACGTATTTCTTCAGTGGCTGCATCATGCTAATTGCTCAAGGAGCAGTTGGTGGTTCTCCAGAGACAACAGGGTATGGTGTTATGATGCAGTGGTTAAAACATCGGGACTCTGACTACAGCCACCTACTCTGTGCCCCTGAATGATTTGCATTTCTCTGGGCTTGGCTTTCTTTATCTGTAAAACAGGGAGAACGATAATCCCGGCTTCGTAAAACAAGGCCTGGCCCACAGTAGGCTTTAATGAGTGGAATCTAACACATTGCTTTGTTGTGGTTCACACACTGCTTCTGATCTTCATGACAACCACCTCCTCCACTCCCAGCCCCCAATGTGGTTGGCAGCGCAGGTAACTTCATACCCATTTTACAGATAAGGAAGCTGATTTGGACAAATTAGCAAAATTGCTCATGTCTGGTAAGTTTTCAAGACCAGCACCCTGGGGAGGAGGGGCCTCCCGAAATAGGGGAGATATTCTGACCTTCACCTGCCCTTCCTGAAACAAACCCCAGATGACTGGTTGAGACTGAACTGTCTGGGGAACTTCCTTTGACCTAGATCCTGTCAGCTATACCCCAACACCAGCCAGAAAAATGCATGCAGCCACACCTTAAGCATTCTTGCCCCAACTTGCACTTCGTGCTGGGGATTGCTCTTTCAGAGACTATTTTTTAAAGGGGGGAATATCTGATAATTGGACACCTACTATGTGCCAGACCCTACACCAGGTATGCTCATGAGGGTTATTTTATCTCCTGTAAGCCATCATATGAGGGCAGGGAAAGGAGAAGAGAGAAGAGCAGGAAGAGAAAGAGGAAAGAATAAACCCACCCCAACTGCTCTCCATAATAAAAGTTGATGCATGCGCATACAACCCTGAGTGTTCTCTCTAAAGTGCCAATGTGATGATGTTATTCCAACTCTCTTGCTTAAAATCTCCCAGTGGTCCCCCACTGCCTTTATACAAAGTCCACACTGAGGAAAGGCAGACTCAGCTAGCCACATAATCACATCTGCTGTGCCCACTAATCTCCTGGCCATTGAACATGCAGTTTCTTTTTCCTGGAATGCCCTTTCCAGCTCCTTACTTCCTTTCCTACTTTTATGTAGGCAAAAAACCATTCATCCTTCAGCTCTCAGCTTTAGATGTCACCTCCTCCAGGAAGTCTTCCTTGTCCACTCAGACAGGGCTAGGCCTGTCTACACTCTATTGTAGATATTTAACAGTCTGTCCCACTAGATGATGAGCTCCTTAGGGTCAGGGACCATGTCCTATTCCTGTGTCCTCAGCACCAAGCATGGTGTGGCTCATACTAAGCACTCAATAAATATTTAATGGATGGATGAAAAAAGGTTGAGCACAAAAATTATCTCCATTTCACAGAGGAGAAAATCAAGTCTCAAAGAAGGCAAAGATACCTCTCTCAGTTCAGACAGCTGGTTAGTGTGGGTGACTTAAGCTAAAGCTAAATCCCTCCAAATCTGCTCCGTTTCACTGCTTATGTTGAAGATAATACAACCTCTTTCTAAGTGGTTCCTAGCACTGTCTTTCAATACTGCACTGAAACAGATCCTGGGTCCTGATAATGTAATATTTATGAACACCAATCATCAAGTCTATTGTTAGTCCCTGGTACTGATTTTAGTGCCTGAGACATATTATACCTCATGACATCTTAGAGAGGTCAACACTGTGATGTCTATTTCACAGATGAGGAAGCTAGTTCAGAGAGGTTAAGCGATTTGCCCTAAGTTTTACAACCTTCAAACCCACGTCAGTCAGTCTCTAACTCCTAAGCCCCAGTTTCTTTCACCTCCTCAGTCTCCTGCCCATGGCTCTAGGGCCAGGTCTCTTGTGGCCTCTGCACCAGCTGGGTCCCATTTCTCTCTTGATGGGATACAGATGAGATCCCCTAACTTCAGAGGGCCCTCTGCGCTGGGCCCACATGGCATACTGACTTTGCTGGCACTTTTCTCTGGCCACTCTTCTCCTCTCCCCAGGGGTTCCTGCATCCGTGCTGGCTCCACCCCTGGGGAAACGCCAGGGCATGGGAAGCTGTCCTTGTTCCTCATTCCCAGTCAATGGCCCCCTTGGGAACCAGGCAGGTAGGGGCAGATCCTCCTGCTCTCTCTCAGGTGTCTCAACAAACAAACTGTTTAGCAATTACACACGCCCTTGGCCGGAGCACCCACAACCTTTCTCAACTCTAGGGTCACCCCAAGAGCTTCCCGACTGTGCATGCATGGATTTATTTGTTCAGTGAAGATTTGCCCATCTATGACATCTATTATGTTGCTCTTTGAGCTAACGCTGTTCCACTTGGAGCCCTGGCACGTCTATTCACCTGAGACGAGGAAGCGCCCCCAAACTGTCTCATAAGGGACAAGAAGCTCCGTGAGGGTAGGGGCTGCATCTGCTTTGTTTGTCACTCTATAACCATCGCCTAGCGCACCTAGATATTAATAGATATCTATTGAACAACTGAATAGCTAAATATTAAAAGCTCATTCTCCCCCATCCTCTCCCCTCACTGCTCTCTGCTTCTATGAGCCTTTAAAAGAAATCTGAAAAGACAGGCTCTAGGATTGCAAGGAACTTCATCTTTATTATTTATCCTGCTTCTGGAAGATTTGGTCAATCTGTCTGCCCAGTGCAAAAAATTAAGGCCATGCAGGTATTCAAAATTTTATCTGCTCTTAAAGAGGGCTGGTACTCAAATTCTTGTCTCTGAAGTCAAATGTTCTCAAGTGATACTGAGGGCATCTTCTACTTTCTATGCGGGGCACTGGTGAGTGGGAACCAGGGAGTTTGGGGAGACTATTAGACCCATCACAAATCTCAGAGGTCCCTCCGGACCCTGGGCACATCAGGTCTCTATGACCACAGGCTCGTCCAGGCCACAGGTCCTGCCTTCCCGGTGATGGCTGGTGCTACCTCAGCAGCCTCATAACTAGGGTGATGATGGCGGAAGGTCTTGAAAGGAGGCCAGATGCATTAGGGGAAAAAGAAGAAAGGGGGCCAAATGAGCAAGAGCGGCCACGTTGTACCCCCATGACATCACATTCAAAGGACCTGGTGTGAAGATTTTTATCTCTGAGACAAAACAGCCCAGTTACTCTGGGATGAAAAGATAAAGCACTTCTTTCTCTAAAAGAGCAGGGGCAGAGTCAATATGATAGCATCCTGGTTCATGAACTAGAGATCCTTTACAAAATTTATTGAAAAATAAAATGTACCACCAATCACTTCAAAATGCCAGTGGAGTCTGTTGTTTGCACAGTGCTGGGCACACAGTAAGTGCTAAACAGATAGTTCCTCTTTTTAAAAAGAATGGGAAAGAACTGTGCTTTGGAAATAGAAAAGTCATGGAAAAACCCAGGGCCCCCCCCCCAGCAAAGTCGGGGCTAAACAGAGGCATTTCCCGTTGGTTTCTTCAAGGTCCAGCCCCCACACAGTCCCCTACACAGCGGGCCCCTGTGCTTCCTTTCCTGTTCTTTTTTCTAGGAGGGGGGGTAATTTCAGTCCATTGGACTTCTTCTTTTCTTTTTTTTTTAATGGAGGTACTGGGGATTGAACCCAGGACCTTGAGCATGCTAAGCATGTGCTCTCCCCCTGAGCTATACCCACCTACCCACCCCCATTTCCTGTTCTCCTTGAGCTAGGCCTGGGCAGCAAAAATGCAGTTAACCACTCAAAATGCAATCGTTACGACTCACCCAACAAGCACGTCAACATGCCCGTTGACACGTACACGCAAATAGTGGAAATGCATGCAGCGCGATGCGGCCCGATGAAACGTGTGTGCCCGTCCACGTGCGCTCCGTGAAACAGTAGAGCAGAGTGGGAAGAGCAGGAGCTTTGGAGTTGGGTGAACAGGGGGTCAAAGCTGTTTCCTTCTTTTAACAGTGGGATGATCCGGAGCAAGTCACTGGACAGCTCAGTCCCTCTCGTCTGGAACACGGCAATTATAGTACTGAGCTTGTGGTCTTGTTGCAAGGATCATATAAGACAATATAGGTAAAAGCGTGGTCTATTATGCAATAGACGCTGAAGGATAATTTATTGCAGAAATGCCAAGAATCTGAAAAGGGAGGAGAGAGGGAGAGTCTAGTGCTGAGCTCGCCTTCTTTACCTGTTTTGCCCAATGGTGTCTTCTGTTTCTCAACTCCTTAGGGGCTTTTGCCTTTTAACAGTAAGACCTTGACCCTAGCTGGCTTTCCTCTGTTATGGATCTGTTTCTATTTTGCCTCAACAAATAAGCCAGCAGACT